ACACACACACACACACACACACACACACACACACACACACACACACACACACACACAGAAAGTAAAATGTATTTAATGGTGCCAGAAGCTGAGAGTGCTCTACAACCAGAACTAAATTCAGCACAAAATGATGAACAACTTTGCTGAAATTTGTTAAATCTCTGAGTTGTTAAAGCTAAAAGAAACACAACACTATATGAGCCAAAACGGATCAAAACACCAGCTAAAAGAATCAGAACATGACTTAAAAGCTAAAATAAGCAGAACAGAGCAAATCTAAAAGAAGTTAAATGCTAAGGCCCAATGTAAGTGAACGATAGTTAAAATCAAAAAGATAAAACTAGAAAAAGAAAAGAGACAAAAACACCAAAATATTAGCTAAAAACAAAAAGTATCAAAGGTTTGTAGAAATAAAAAACTAGCAAAATGGTAGCTATCAGATAACAATAACAAAATATAATGATAGCTTTAGCTAAAAGTAGCGTGTGTCTAAAAATAGCAAAACACTTTTGAAGACTTGCAAAATGGTAGCTAAAAGTAGAAATGGAGCAATGAAAAGCAAAAAGCTTTAAAATGCCTTTTTAAAGTTAGCATAAAAGTAGCTAAAAGTTAGCAGCAACAAGCGATAATAGTAGCAAAACATTTAAATTTGTCCCCAAATGWCTGGTGTGTGAGCTGGTTCAAGTCCCTGAATAAGCAAAACTATTTAAAACTTAAAATGCACTACCTAAAACTAGCAAAACAATATCCTAAACCCGAAAGTAACAAAAGATTAGCTAAAAAACAAGTGGTAGCTATCAGCAAAATGTAGCAAATAGTTGGATAAAAGCTAAAGAATAGCTGAATAGCTAATAGCAATGAAATGTTAGCTAAAAGTAGCATATGTCTAAAATGGCAAAAGGCTTTCGAAGAGCTTAAATTAGCAAAATGATAGCTAAAAGCAGCAAAGGGCTAATAAAAGCAAAATGTTTTAAAAACTTTTTAAAAAGATAAACTAGCATAAAAGTAGCTAAACATTTAAAATCTCAAACAGGCATCTAAACCCTACAAGTATGCTACCTAAAACTAGCAAAACAATACCTTAAATCGAAAAGTAGCAAAAGATTAGCTAAAAATTAAAAAGTAGCAAAAGATTAGCTAAAAATGAAAAAGTAGCAAAATGGTAATTAACAGCGAAATTTAGCATATAGTTGGCTAAAAATAGCTAAATAATAGCTAAAAGCAACACAAGGTTAGCTAAAAGTAGCATCTATCTAAAAATAACAAAAGGTTTGAAGAGCTGAAACTAGCAAATAGCTGAAAGGTCAAACGTTTCAAAAGGCCTCTTAAAAGATAAACCAGCACAAGGGTAGGTCAAAGTTCAGAGTAGCAGCAGGCTAGCTAACGTCTTGTATCCATCCATCCAGAGGTACGTCTTCTTTCAGTCACCAGAGCTCCTAACAGCAGGTGAGGACAGTAAGATCTTCTCCTATACATCAACTTTTATGACAGTATCTGTAAAGTTATAATTATTTTTATGTTTTTAAACATGTTATTTCTCTCATAAACACCTCATAACTGTGATCTGGCAGCAACTGGAACACAGATGGATTTATGTCTCTGAAAACAAACCCTGTTTGAAAACAGCCAGTCGCACTGACCATCCAGGATGTGTGTGTCTGTGTGTGTCTGTGTGTGTGTTGGGGGGTTTCCGTTTCCTGTTGCTCTCACTGGCTGTGTTGGTAGGACTCTGGTAC